CAATGCAACCTCCGAGGAACAGTGGCATCTCTAACGAACAATGTCATCTGTTGAACAATGCAACCTGGCAGGAACAATGACATCTCTAACGAACAATGTCATCTGTTCAACGACGCAACTTCAGAGGAACAGTGGCATATCTAACAAACAATGTCATCTGTTCGACAACGCAACCTCCGAGGAACAATGACATCTCTAACGAACAATGACATCTGTTGAACAATGGAACCCCAGAGGAACAATGACATCTCTAACGAACAATGTCATCTGTTGAACAATGCAACCTCAGAGGAACAATGGCATCTCTAACAAACAATGTCATCTGTTGAACAAAGCAACCTGGGAGGAACAGTGGCATCTCTAACAAACAATGTCATCTGTTGAACAATGCAACCTGGGAGGAACAGTGGCATCTCTAACGAACAATGTCATCTGTTCAACAAAGCAACCTGGGAGGAACAATGGCATCTCTAACAAACAATGTCATCTGTTCAACAACGCAACCTGGGAGGAACAATGGCATCTCTAACGAACAATGTCATCTGTTCAACAAAGCAACCTGGGAGGAACAGTGGCATCTCTAACGAACAATGTCATCTGTTGGGAGGAACAATGCATCTCTAACAAACAATGTCATCTGTTGAACAATGCAAGGAACAGTGGCATCTCTAACGAACAATGTCATCTGTTCAACAAAGCAACCTGGGAGGAACAATGGCATCTCTAACGAACAATGTCATCTGTTCAACAACGCAACCTGGGAGGAACAATGGCATCTCTAACAAACAATGTCATCTGTTCAACAAAGCAACCTGGGAGGAACAATGGCATCTCTAACAAACAATGTCATCTGTTCAACAACGCAACCTGGGAGGAACAATGGCATCTCTAACGAACAATGTCATCTGTTCAACAAAGCAACCTGGGAGGAACAATGGCATCTCTAACAAACAATGTCATCTGTTCAACAACGCAACCTCCGAGGAACAATGGCATCTCTAACGAGCAATGTCATCTGTTGAACAATGCAACCTGGCAGGAACAGTGACATCTCTATCGAACGATGTCATCTGTTGAACAATGTAACCTCCGAGGAACTATGGCATCTCTAACAAACAATGTTCACAATGGCACACTGCCTGCTCACGGCGCTACGTACATTACTATTCTCGGTCATAGGACACTATCGTACTTTCGGTGCTGTTTCAACTCCCTGAGAATCATACAATCAACCATGCTGCCTATTAGCCTCGCAATAAACTAAACACTCACATTGCCAGCACATTTTCACGGGTACCCATTATACAGCTGGGTGAACTGAGACAATGTGGATCTAAGTATCTTGACCAAGGATACCGAACCTAGGTGTCTCCACCGGGGATCGAACCCGGGCTTTCATCGTGATAGGCAGACGCCTTACCACTGCACTATTGCGCTCCAGCCTGCGAGGAACAATATCAACCATGAACGTTGTCACTAGGGGTGGGTATTGCAGAGAATATTCATATTGCTATATATTGCGATGCGAAAGCATGTATTGCGATATGCATCACAATATATTGCATGAAGTATTTTTAAACAAAAAACTACTTATAATCGAGTTACTGCTTGATTTATAGAGCAAAAACACAACAAAATCACTATGCTTGATTAAGCTTTAATAACAAATTTTAATCATAATAAATTAAAAATGTGAATAATATTTGGCACAAATGAAACAAGGAAATATCCGAAAATTTCCGAGTGTTACGACGTTTTCCGAATGCATGTCAAAATACCGGTTTTCGATCAGCGTATCGCAATACGTATCGTTTTCATGTCTGAACCTGTACATACCGGTAAACCGGTTATATTGCGCAGCCCTAGTTGTCACCTATGATAAACAATGTTCTCTGTTGTGAGTAATGACACTTGTAATGAACACAGCAACAGCGATGAACTAAACAATCTGTGATGAACTACACAATCCGTGATGAACTACACAATCTGTGATGAACTACACAATCTGTGATGAAGATGCTCCCATGTACATGTGTTCTTTGTGTTTATTTTCTTCTTTCGTTTCGTGTTGCTCGAAACGTGAGTCATAATTCACAGTAATCCTTGATTCTACTGTGGGCAATTGAGGCAAGCTTGTTGCAGGAAAACCAGTTTGTACAGGTCACATTACACTTTATTCGTAAGGGGGCGGTTGGGTAGCCTAGTGGTCAAAGCGTTCGCTCGTCACGCCAAAGACCCGGGTTCGATTCCCTACATGAGTACAATGTATGAAGCCCATTTCTGGTGTTCTACGCCGTGATATTGCTGGAATATTGCTAAAAAAGCGTAATACTAAAATCAATCACTCACTCCTTCATTCGTGGAGTCTGGAACACGATATACACCTCGACAGATTAGCTTCTGCGGTTCAGGTGTCTAATCACGGTATAAATGTATTCTAGCTGTGTTCGCAAGTCAGTGAATCACTGGAACTGTAAGCTGTCGTACGTGCGTGTTCACGCTAAACCTTGTGTATTTTTTCTTACATATGTGTTATACTAGTTTTGTCTATGTGTTTTTCTTTGCCCTCAGCAACATATTGCAGCTATATAACAGTACCGGTATTTCCCGTATTTAAGCCCACTCGAAATTACGCCTATGTGCTTAAAAACGGGATATTTTCCCGTTATTAAGCACATGGGCTTAAATTGAGATTTCTATTTATATTGTTTAGAGTGACGTCCCATGGCAAAAGCACATGGCGAACGTCAGCTTATATAACGATTGTAGTGCAGTTAGAGGTTTCCACGTGTACAGAACTTTATCTTCAGTTACAAGCATTTCCCGAATTTAAGCCCTGGGCTTAATTATGGGGTTTATATTTGTTAACTAGATGGGTCATTTTCCGTTATTAAGCCCAGGGCTTAAATACGGGAAATCCCAGTAGTTTGTAAAAAATCAAGTCTGGACCAGACAATCAAGTGATTAAGCACCGGTCGACTCAACATGAATACCATGATATGCAACCAAGTCAGCGAACATAACGGCCCCATCGCCTCGAGAGCAATTTTGAAAACCTCTACAAACCCGGAATCTCCAAGGTTCATTATAACAGTGATGCCGTGGATAGGTCGATAGAGTCAGACCTACAACGGTCTCCTTTCTGTTCTGAATCCCAAACCGGATGTGATTTACAGATACACATTGTGCGCATTCTACACACGATATAACGCACCCAGATGACCCAGGACAGGTTCCCAGTCTAGGGTCAAAGAGTACTATAAGGAAAGGAAGGGCAATATCTTACAATATACCACGCACTTTACACTAGGTGCCTCTGGCATGCTAATTGGGAACAATTTATCATTTTCTTAAAGGAAATTATGTAAAAAGTTTTGTATTTTCTGAGGAAGTAAGAAATTTTGGATACAACTTGGGATTCGTACTGTTAGGGCCGAACATGGCCCTATGAGATGGTCAGGGCACTCGGGGGTAGCCTAGTGGTTAAAGCTTTCGCTCGTCACGCCGAAGACCCGGGTTCGATTCCCCACATGGGTACAATGTGTGAGGCTCATTTTCTGGTGTTCCCCGCCGTGATATTGCTGGAATATTTCTAAAAGCGGCGTAAAACAACACTCACTCAGAAATGGGCTTACACATTGTACCCATATGGGGAATCGAACCCGGGTCTTCGGCGTGATGAGAGGACGCTTTAACCATTAGGCTACCCCACCGCTCCTCGTTATTAAAAATAAAACCGTATAACTCTATGGATGACAACGTCTAGGTTTTCGTACACGTGACGTTTCCATGTATATTCTTACATCGTTCTCACGCTGAAAGGGATGTGTATACGTGTAAATAGCATAAGGTTTCTCAACTCTCAGAGCACAATAGATGATAATCTCCACAAGCAATCTTTCCGACAGAGAGGGCACTGCACTACAATAATTTAGCAATCAGATATTGTTTTAACCCGGACATCACTTTGGGGAACTCCGGATTACCGTGTTCAAATGTATCGATGACTGTGCCATATTGGCTGGGTTTAATTAGCAGTAAAGAAATGGTAAAAGATTCACAAGAAATAGTTTCCAGGAATACAACGCGTGGCTACAGCAGACCGGCACTGACAGGCTTATCTACCTTCTTACAAGAAAGGTCAGAGGTTCAACCAGGGGTCGAATTTAGGGGTCAGGAGATGGGGTGGGGTAAAGGGAGATAATCACGTAATCGAGAATCTGGTCCTCATCGGTGTAACCAACACCATCGCGACATATGACCACACAAAGGCCTCGCGGTGTTAACATGTACAGCGAAACTGTTAAACCGAACGTGCGACCAATTTCACACCTATGACAAAACATGAGGCGATGCGATTACACGGTCGAGTCAGCAGGAAGTTCTCCTCCATTGTGACACACGGGTACAGGTAGAGCAATCGATCGGAAGACTTTCACATGGATATATCAACAGTTAATTAATATGCAACCATGCATTAAATCGACCATGTAGAATCTGTGCCATGTTGACAAAAATAACGCCTTTACGTCATCCTTCTCATTACAAGCGCATAATGAGATGTACCATTCACTCGTGATCGGCCCGCGTTTCACTGACAGCTATATACATTAAATATATGTAATCCTACAACCAATAAAAGCGCATAATACGGCATGTATAGATCGAAAATATTCCGAAGTTGCTTGATATGCAAACCCCCGAAGCATCACACATTAATATATATTAGTACAGTGGAGATTGTGTGTACATAGCATCTGCTCACCGCGTAGACTCTGAATCACATTATAATAGAAGGTTTTTCATAGTGCATGATGTCGGAAGCTTAACATAATGCCATGACAGAGTCTGACCATATTTTCCAAGATATCTGGTGATCGAGAGCTAGGGACGCAAAGCGAGCCGGCGCGGCCGCCAACAGCTGATCGTTGCTTCCGCTTAGCTCGGCCGCAAAACGAGGAGTTGTCTTTAACGGAAAAATATTGATAGAATCCACTTACGTCACTATGTCCGTGTTCATCTGACAGGAATGTGGCCCGTCAGCACGACAGGGGAAGGATAACGCTGGTACAAGTTGAAATATTACACCAATGGTCAAGTCACCTTCCACCGAACAAAGCGATTCTGTCAGCTGGTAGGGTATAAAAATAGATATTGGCGAGAACGACCTTGCCAGATTTGAGTGAACCGACCGGGAAATTGTGTCACATTCACATTCAATGTTTTGTTTACGACGGAATAATATTCACCGTTAAAGGTAAATAAACATATAGTCAGACTTGTCCTAGGTTAACATTGTAAAGATTTTATACCCAATATGTACGGCAGTCTATTCAGGTAAATAACCGCGGTTTATTGGTCGATAGGAATTGACCACCTTCCCCGTACGAGCACCATCTAAGCTGGCCACGGTTCAGCGTCACGTGATCTAAACTGAAGTCTTATCGATCCATAACGGTACTGCTTCCATAACAACACGATCGCATGTATGTACAGGAAGTTCCTGTTTGTTGTAACATTTCTATCAGTAGATTTATGTCTATGACAACTGCAAAGGTTTCTTGATGAAAGGTAATATTTATTAGCGACTCCATTTCATGAAACGATATCTGTGACGGGAGTGCAAGATGGTTCATTAACCGCGAGTACAATGAGCGCTGTCTCACAGGTGTGTACTGTTTTTTAATACATTTAAAATGTTGTTTTTTGTTGTGTTTTTTTTTTAAACTTAACATTTCCATATAAAAAAATACCACCTTGATATTGCTATTTCGTATTGTTTAGATAACTGATTCTGGTATTAGCGACATCTGGTAAGTTGCTTGGACGCCAGTTACACTGGTAGGGAACTTGGTAGACTAAGGCTTAGTCTCTGAATATATATATTTTGATAGTAACAAACAAGCCCATTTATATTGAAAAGGAGCCCTAGGGAGACCAGAGATTCAGATCTGAGGAAATCTAGACTTGCTTTATTTAGGACTTTAGCACTGCAGAGAGGGCTTGGCAGTAGGGAAATTAATGTGGTTCAGGGACTGTGAGACAGATTAGGCAAGAGGGAAAATAATGTGGTTCAGGGACTGTGAGACAGACTACATTGCAGGGAGGGTTAGGCTGTAGGGAAAATAATGTGGTTCAGGGACTGTGAGACAGACTACATTGCAGGGAGGGTTAGGCTGTGGGGAAAATAATGTGGTTCAGGGACTGTGAGACAGACTACATTGCAGGGAGGGTTAGGCTGTAGGGAAAATAATGTGGTTCAGGGACTGGGAGACAGACTACAGTGCAGGAAGGGCTAGGCTGTAGGGAAAATAATGTGGTTCAGGGACTGTGAGACAGACTACATTGCAGGGAGGGTTAGGCAGTAGGGAAAATAATGTGGTTCAGGGACTGTGAGACAGACTACTTTGCAGGGAGGGTTAGGCTGTAGGGAAAATGATGTGGTTCAGGGACTGTGAGACAAGCTACATTGCAGGGAGGGCTAGGCTGTAGGGAAAATAATGTGGTTCAGGGACTGTGAGGTAGGCTACATTGCAGGGAGGGATGGGGAGTAGGGAAAATAATGTGGTTCAGGGACTGTGAGGTAGGCTACATTGCAGGGAGGGATGGGGAGTGGGGAAAATAATGTGGTTCAGGGACTGTGAGGTAGGCTACATTGCAGGGAGGGATGGGGAGTAGGGAACATAATGTGATTCAGGGACTGTGAGGTAGGCTACATTGCAGGGAGGGCTATAGGCAATAGGGAAAATATTTGGTTCAGGGACTGTGAGACAGACTACCGTTGTCTGGAACAATTGCACTTCCTATAATGCTAATAAATTAGAATTACTACAGCTGGAGGCAGCTAGAATAGTAACAAGCTTAACCAAATTTTCATGAACCTGAGGAAATCTAGACTTGCTTTATTTAGGGCTTTAGCACTGCAGAGAGGGCTTGGCAGGGGGGAAAATAATGTGGTTCAGGGACTGTGAGACAGACTAGGTACTTGGTTACAGGGAGAGTGGAGTCTTTGTGATTTTTGCGACGGAAACTTTGCGATAATTATGTCACAGAGTCTTTGCACTAAGATGAGTTTTGACAAGACGAAATGGTAATTATAGCTTTACTTTCTTGTATTTTAGATTATAATTTTCATATCACCGCATAATGTTATCTTACACAATTGTAATTCATTGGGGCAAGTCGAGATGTTGCATAGATAATGACAATGAAGGAATTTTCCGTTACATCAATTTCGTAGTCAAAAAGTTTCTGAGACATTAAGGGGCGGTGGGGTAGCCTAATGGTTAAAGCGTTGGCTCGTCACACCGAAGACCCGGGTTCGAATCCCCACATGGGCACAATGTGTGAAGCCCATTTCTGGTGTCCCCCGCCGTGATGTTGCTGGAATATTGCTAAAAGCGGCGTAAAACCAAACTCTGTCAGTCAGTCTGAGACATTAAACCAGTTCATGGAAATTAATATGTTCGGTTTTTTTCGCTGATAAAACAGTAAATGCTTTATGATGAAAGGGGATAATCTCTAATCGGAACACTTTGTATTATTTTTACACTTCGTTATGGGGTCAATATGACGATTATTTATCAAAAAGTATTAATTTCGTGACAATTAATGGTTTTACATAATTATCAGTAGCTTTCTGAACAACATATATTTGCTGCTTACTGATGGAAACCTAATGTAAGTAAATGTGAATTCAACTCTCTCGTAATATTGATTTTGTAGGTATACAGGCCATTTATCGTATCTTACCCTTCCCTTGCTGATGCAAAAATCACATAGACTCTGTGACATCGCAAAGATTCCGTCGCAAAAATCACAAAGACTCCACTCTCACTGTAACCAAGTTCCCTACCAGTGAGTTAGGTGACCTACAAAGATTGAATTAGAGATTAACCACATGATTGGAAGGCAGATGGATGTTAGTACAATAGATGAGGTTGATGAACATAGCTTGTATAACGTGTTAAGTAAGGGTGTTAGAAGGCAGAGGCAGAGAATGTACACAAGAAATATGTTAATTATGAATTATTGATAATGATAACAATTGCATCGTTAAATGCGACAACTTACAAATTAAAGTATTTATTTCCTGATAAAAACGCGATACATAGTATTTCCTTCTTAGCCGCATGCATCCTGTTTGTAATGTCACCCGATATAAAGATAGTATCCTTATCCGGGTGAGAGAATTCACAAGTGAAGTGGTTTTCCTCTATACGGTTAGTCAACCATTTAGAGTTTAACCACACCCTCTGATCCAGTCAGTATCTAGAATGGTGGTACATCTCAGAAGGTACTAAATATGAATCGATTAATCTGTAAGTTTAAAATCCAGGTATTTTTGTGCTTATGTGTGTACGCGTCAGTGTTGTGCTTGTATGTGCGCACGTTTTTGTTTTGGTTGTGTGTGCGCGTGTCAGTGTTGTGGTTGTGTGTGTGCGCGTCAGCGTTGTGTTTGTGTGTGTGGGTCAGTGTTGTGTTTGTGTGTGCGCACAGTAGTGTTGTGGTTGTGTGTGCGCGCATCAGTGTTGTGGTTGTGTGTGCGCGTGTCATTGTTGTGTTTGTGAGTACGCGCGTTTGTGTTGTATTTGTGTGTGTGCGCGTCAGTGTTGTGTTTGTGTGTGTGCGTCAGTGTTGTGTTTGTGTGTGTGCGTCAGTGTTGTGGTTGTGTGTACGCGCGTCAGTGTTGTGTTTGTGTGTGTGCGTCAGTGTTGTGGTTGTGTGTGTGTGCGTCAGTGTTGTGTTTGTGCGTCAGTGTTGTGGTTGTGTGTACGCGCGTCAGTGTTGTGTTTGTGTGTGTGCGCGTCAGTGGTCAGTGTTGTGTTTGTGTGTGTACGCGCGTCAGTGTTGTGGTTGTGTGTGTTCGTGTCAGCGTTGTGTTTGTGTACACGCGTCAGTGTTGTGTTTGTGTGTGCGCGCGTCAGTGTTCATACCACCTTTTAAATGCCACCACTTAAAGAAATGTGTCTGCACCAGACATTCCAGTGATCAACATCATGAGCATCAAGCTACGCAATTGGTACGATGACAACCAAGTCAGTGAGCCATGACCATCCGATCCCATCAAGCGCCTTTTACGACAAGCATGGGTTGTGAAGGCCAATTCTAACCTTCACGCGTACGTGTTCTCATCCGGTGAGATACTTGAGCGTATCCACATCCTTACTCATATACCGAAATAGATCTTAAACTAAAATAACGTTGGAAAACCAAACAGACCGCCACAGAAAACACCCAAAAGAAAAAACACACGAGAGCCTTTATGTACAAACACGTGTGTCTCCATAAGTTCGCGCATTCTGACTGGGTGAGTGAGTGAGCTTAGTTTTACGCCGCACCCAGCAATGCTCCAGCTGTATGACGGCGGTCTGTAAATAATCGAGTCTGGTCCAGACAATCCAGTGATCAACTGCATGAGCATCGATCTACTGACATGTTTCAACCAAGTCAACGAGCTTGACCACCTGATCTCGTTAGTCGCCTCTTACGACAAGAATGGGCTACTGAAGATCAATTTTAACCTAGATCTTCATGGGTCGCATTCTGTTTGGTTTGTCCTATTTATCCCCGTAACAAGCATTGATACGGGGTGAGTCTTCTTGCAGTTTATGGTAATGGGCGAGTAGTGACGAACGAAGAGTTGCTTTTCAGTATACCTAGGTTTTCGATTGGCTGACTGTGACTCCTCCTAGCCGTTACTGGGCAACTTTCGCTACAATCATTTGTCCATATTTCGATAAAACGTACACCATGTTTTTTTTTCTCATATTATCATATGTTTCAGCAGTACATTAAAAAAACAATGTCGCTTTCAAAATTTGATGATGATTTCACTGAATGAATGTGCCAGTTCCCATGGCTCTGGGCACTCCAAGAATTTTGGATAGAACTTCAGAAGACAGCTTCGCCTCACCCGAGAATAAGAATTACAAATAACAAAGTTAGAATTAAAATTCTTCCATTAAATGGTCAGAGTATCACCACTCATAATGCTAAGTCTCTAAATGTATGTAAATTTGACAGTAACAAATAATCCCATTTAAATTGAAAAGGAGCCTCGTCAAGATGGGAGGAAATCTAGACTTGCTTCATTTACGGCCTTTGCTTAACAAGGAGGACTATATGCAGTAATGAAAATAATGCGGTTCAGGGT